TTCATCAACAGTACATACCTGATCAATACGCTTGTCTTCAAAAGGATAAAGATACTTTGTAGAATTTGGAAGTGTAGTTAGTTCAAAACATATAGTAACTATTGACTCTTGTGCAGATTTCTGGGGGCAGAGGGATGAGGCAGACAAAATGGTTGCTACACTTAGAGAAGACAGTCCTTCAGAGATCGCTAATTAAAAACAATGCAAGGGGCCGGGGATGTAGCTCAGCGGCACAGCACCTGCCTGGCAAGCGTGAGGTTGTGAGTTCAATTCCCAATACCAAAAAAAATAAAATAAAAGACACGAATGAAGCTAAGGAAGCGTTGAGTGTTATGTGAATGTCTGGAGGGGTTTGGTCTTTTAAAAATTCCTACATGTAAAAGTAGTAAGACTAATAGAAGGAATAATAGCACCACAGGCAGGGGGCGCCACATGTGGAAAGGCTCTGGGATGACACAGATGAATGAGTTTAAGAAACATAAAGGACACAATATTCTAAAAGGTATGGGTGCCACTGAACAAGGCTGAAGCGACAGGTGAAAGCCAGATCTTGCGAATGTTTTCTGAAGTTCTCAGGAACTGTATTCCCTTAAGAACATAAGCTCTCTCTTCCTACCAAAGCGATACACCAGGTCAGGTCCACACACCCTGTGTGGGAAATCCTCCCCATCCCTCAGTTCACAAACTCTCACCCTGCACAAGCCTCTTATGCTGTTCTAGCCCCCTCCCGCTTCTGGCCCTTGTTCTGCTCACCATTCCTTGAAGAAGCTAATCTCTCGGAGCCATCATCCAGCTGAAACTGCCCTTCCTCGCCATGGTGCAGGGTGACTCTGGAGTGGACAAGCAACGGACACCCAACCCATGCAGCCCACCCTCTGGCCGCCAGCCGCCCATGGTCAGCCTGGCTTGCAGGGCTCTGAGAGCGGATGCTGGCGACCTTAGACAAGGCAACCAGCCAGCTCCTACTTAGACTGAAGAATATCTCAAACGCTGGCGAGAAAGTGATGGCCAAAGCAGTGCACCCTGAGAGGAGCGAGCACTCACTCATCCCTTCCATAAACCTGCTTATCACTGAAGTGGTCCAGCACCTTACAGCCCCGCTGCTACTGCACTGCCCTGTGTGCTTCTGTCACCTCTGTGAATTTCACTTTTATCGTATTATTCATGTCACCACAACTACAGTCTTTAAAAGTAGAGATCAAGTTGGACCGTGGATGTAGCTCAGCGGCACAAGTGCCTGCTTGGCAAGTGCAAGGTCCTGAGTTCGAGTCCTGGTACCAAAAACAAGAAAAGAGATCAAGTAAATACAGGAGTTTAGCTTCCTTGTTTTCATCATCATACAATAAACCCTCAACGCACACTGGCTAGATGGGTGCACAGATGAATGAGGTATGGACGGTGCATGGATGGATGTGCGGATGGATGGTTGCATGCATGCCTGCTTGTATAGACAGAAGGGCGGATTCATGGATGGATGGATGGATGGATGGATGGATGGATGGATAGATGGATGGGTGGATGGATGGATGGGTGGATGGATGGATGGATGGTTGCATGCATACCTGCTTGCATAGACAGAAGGGCAGATTCACAGATGGATGAGTGGATGGATAGATGGGTAGATGGGTGGATGGGTGGTTGGGTGGGTGGATGGGTGGATGGGTGGATGGGTGGGTGGGTGGATGGGTGGATGGATGGGTGGATGGATGGGTGGATGGGTGGATAGATGGATGGATGGGTGGATGGATGGGTGGATGGGTGGATGGACGGATGGATGGGTGGATGGGTGGATGGATGGGTGGATGGATGGGTGGATGGATGGATGGGTGGATGGGTGGATGGATGGATAGATGGATGGGTGGATGGATGGATGGATGGATGGGTAGGTGGATGGATGGGTGGGTGGGTGGATGGA